GCACAGTTAGGTCTTGCTCCTTGTCTATATAAAGGGTTTAACCAAAACTGGGTAGGTTATCATCAAGATAGTAACAACAGGATATTATAGGATGAATACTGTACTGAAGTTCAAACATATGAAGGAAGAAATGAAACTTGACAAGTACAAAAAGACTGAGTTATGAAATTAAAAATTAGAAAAATAGCCTAAGAACACTTTTCTTTTTGAATTCTCTTTATCTATTCTTCCAGGTGCCCTCAGCTACTGCATATTCCTAAACTCCTGTGTGCACAGTCTTTTTATTTTTCACAGTCTTTGGGTCAGGAATTTGCTCTGTCATGTATCTAAACCCACCAAATACTACTTTGTGACTACATAAGAATATGAATTTAATATTAAAGCACTTGAGAGAGAAATTATAATTCAGCACACTGTTTTGTGCACAAATAAAACAATTTTATATGTTATATTCTATGATTATAGTTTAAAATATGCAAGAAGAAACATTGCTGGAGAAAAAGAAACATAACAGTTTATCTTTTAGAAGGAATATGGTTACAATTTTAGCTTTCATATTTTAATACAAGATACAGTATTTCCTAATGTTTGCTTATATTAAAATAAGAAACAAGAACTCCACAATCTAAGTTCATTTTCTTAAACTGAAACTCCAAAACAAAACAAAACTAAGCTACAGCTTCCTAGTAAGTTAAGGAACATGTAATGTTTCTTGGATTCTCCTTTCATACAGAGTGCCTTTTTAAACACGATGATGTGTCTCTAAGTGACTTTTGAAGAAATATTTCTCAATAAATAGATAATAAAAATAAATTCATTTTGATGTCTGATTTAAGAGCTTTAGGCTATGGGGATATTGAGTTTATGACCAGAATTTGACAGGTGATAACTTCCCTGTAGCTTGAACATTATAAATTTTTAATGCCCTTGTCAAAAGTATAAAGTTTATTGCTAAAAGGAAATTAGCAATACATTAACAGGTACCAAAGTCAATATGAAAATCATGTGAAAACCAAAAGAAATTAACTACACTATTTCCTCCCTTGACTGTTTAACTCCTGTTACCCAATTCAGTCGACAGAAGGCTGACATGATCACACCATCTTAATGACTCGATTCCTCCAAAACAGGCAAGGGAGCTTTAAATAATTAGACACCTAAGTCTAAGAATGTTGGATAAATGTATTTTTTATTTTCTTGAAAGACAAGGCAGTCTTAGATTCTTCTTCTCATTGCTACAGGATCATCAATCACCTGCTTACGTGAAGAAAACAAACCTCAAAAAGCAGCTTTATTCCCACCACCTCTGGGAAATTTATGAGAGAATTACACAAGGAAGCCAAGACCCTTCACAAGACTTGAAGCCCCAATGCCATTAGTCATTTACCCATGTGTCGCAAGGGGGCTGCGTAATGTTAACACCATAATTAGTCACAATTTATTTGATGCAACAGAAAAAAAGTATTTAAAAGTACTTGAAAAATTATTTGAAGTGCTAAAAAAACCATGCAGAGACAGATGGAGAAAGACACACTGAACTGAAATGTTCACAGAGACCGGCTTTGCCTTTTTTTTTCTCTCTTGTTCAGAAGATGGTTGGGACAAAATTAGCTGCATCCTGACAATATCAACCATGATGTATCAATTAGTTTAAAGAAAAGTAATAATGGAGAAGCCCAGACATATTTTAGAGCTGACAAGGACTTATTTTAAGTTATACTTGTAATTAACTTCAACTTCTAAATAACTCAAAACCAGTTGATGTTTCAATTCATAGTCTAGTGACAGAATATTTAATTCTTCCTCAGATTAATTTAACAAAATGTACTATCAGCAATGGCATATCTATTCTCCTTGATAATCTTGTCATACTAATTCAGATAGACATGGATTTTCTTTTCCTGATTTATTGAAAAGGCTTAACAAATCCCACTGATACATAAAAAAAGTTACACCTGAAACATGTTAATCCCAAAATGTGATCAGATTATTTTTATTAGACAAGTCTGATAACAATGAAATTATTTTCTGAATCAGGTTTTCATTTGTCTGAATTTCTACAGAATTTATTTGCCCTATTTCTAGGTCCAATGACTAGAAAAGTCTAACAAGAGAGCCTCTTGTTACCCATATATACGACATGCTCCATTTTTATGAAACACAGCAGAAGATAGCCTCTTAACCTTCAAAATATGTCACGTAGACAGTAGTAGGAGTAAAACAATGCAGCACTAGATCTGCATTTCCGCCTTATGGAGCTGCTTCTTTGGGAACACCTGTGGCACTTCTAAATGAAACAGAATACATAGAATGCTCATACATGCAGACTCCCTCTTTTTTCTTCACTGTCAAAAGCTCCCATTGGGGCTTTCTTTTATCCTTTCAAAAAAAGATCCACGGGATATACAACTAAATCTAGGTGATGTACAAAATAAGCAATCCACAGTGTGGTTGCCTGAACTGTTCCTTTAGTATTTTATGAGCACCATCTGAAATCACAGCCTTTGTCCTGCAATAGATTTTATGTATTTGAGACATAAACACAAGTTAACCATGTCCCTCAGCCTTGCAGGATTAGCACAGATCTTTAATTCTTTAATCCATATTTAGGCAGAATAAATAATAAGGGCCTTAAGCTGCAGGAAGAAAGATCTAGCATTAAAGGGTAGTGAAACACTAGAGCAAATGGAAAAGGGCATATAAAAAAAAAATCTATGTATGTGGGGTTTTTAAGATCAAATTAGGAAAAATACCTGGCAAAAATGACATTTACAGTCAAACCTACCTTGTAAAGAAAACAAATTAAAAACCTCCAGAGATCACTTAGAACTTCATTTTTCTGGATTCTGTGATATATTGCAAAGTCAAGGAACAAACCAATCCAAACACAATTCTCCCAAAATTCTAGATGCATTTGTTAACGGTTAAAGTGGCTGAAGTCCAAAACCTATTCTTCCTGAACACTGAGACTAGGATCAGCTAAGAGAGATCACCATCCAACAGTCAATACTGTCACCAAGCAACACCAGAACAGTACTTACTGCTATCATAGTTGAGTAAGTTTGTTTTGAAATACTAGAGGAAAATACTAACTCTACAAAATGAGCAAGTCTCGTCACTGTTCAATAATCTATCCATTGTAAACCCAAATATTTATATGACCTTAAAAAGGGACAATATAACACAATCCTGAATTCTAGTCTACTTTTCTGCTGTGCAATATATCAACATATAATATGCACCACATATGGATTTATTCATAGATTTTCAACAGCAGCTGTGTAAATTTCTCACAGAACTTCTGGACTGAAACCTTAATAAGGATATACCTCCTTTGCAGCAGTGTTCAGAGGCTTGTGTTCTAATGCTTTAGAAGTCACTAAAGTTACCCCTGTACAAAAGTGAATGTTACAGGTCTATTTAACTACAAAGCATGATGAGACTTCATTTAGTTTTATTAGCATAATACAGAAGAAGGAGAATATCCCTCTAATATTTGAAAGGAGATCACATCAAAGAATAAACAAAGATTATATGGCATGGAGAGAAAGGGCGCTTCATTATCAGAATAAGCAGCTGGAACTGATTTCTGTGCTGGGAAACAGAAACCCAACAAACTGTCCAAAGAGAACTATGTAATTCAAAAAATTTAAGGACAATATTGAAACAGACTCTGGATTCTGAATATGAATCCTATCTAATGTAAAGAGAAAAGTACAACCCGGAAGCTGTGCTTTAGAACAGATTCCTATCCATAACCCCAACAGTATCAAGACTCACTGTTACGTTGTTTTGATAAAGTCAACTTCTCACTCAACCCAAAAACCATCTTTAGACCATTTCACCCCAAGAAAGAACATTCTTGATGTGCCACCAGTCATGTTGTACTTTGTTTCAGTCTCTTAGGCTACTTTGATAGTTCTGCTTGTACTCAGGTTCAGAATGGAGATCAGAATAGAGTGCAGACCCAATTTCCAAGCCAGTAATTCACCCTTGTGGGTACTGCTTTCAAATGCAAGGAGCATTTGCCTTTCTGTATCTGCAGGTTGCATCTCTGATTTTCCTTAGAGTTAGGCAGTGTCCAGGTTGAAGTAGATATAGTCGTTCAATGAACACTACATATCAAGTGTTTTACTTCAGCAAGCTCGCCTGGATATTTTGTTGGCTGTAGACTGACTGCCCTAGCAACAAATGACAATGATTTTGGACAAACATACATCCACAGCAGCATCACAATTGAAAAAACAAAATTAACTTGTCTTATCTAAGCTTAGGACTTCCTTCTAAGACCGACAGAATTCATTTAATTCTGGCAACATCATTCAGAAAGCCATGTTTCTAACTGATGCCAACTTAGAGCCCACTTCTTTACAGATCCTGCACTGCTTCTCTTGTATCTTTTGACAACAGTAAACACTGGTTTTGAAGTTACCTGGTCACAGTTTCTCATCAGAAAACTTGTCAATGCTAAAGGTCTGGAACCTCCCCTCATCAACTCCAATCAGGCAAATGCCTGTTCTAATTGGAGAGGTAAATTTGGAAGGTTGTTGTTAAGACTTTGCCCAATTCCTCAGAACATCAGATGTAAGACTAATTAGAACAACTATATCTAACATTTACTCTTAAAAGTAATACGGCTGTAAGCAGGCATAATATGGCTATACATGGGGCACTTCAGCGGGAGGAGCTGAAGACTTTGTCCTCAGTTAAACTTTATGTAGCTTCAGTAAGCTGAGTGACGCTGTATGGGACTTTGTCCTCAGTCAAACTTTATGTAGCTTCAGTAAGCTGAGTGACACTGTATGGCTATAACCAAGTGAGGAATCTGGTCAATGGAAACCAACCCATAGGGATGTACATCCTCATTTTGCAAAAGAGTGACACCCACTGGCAGCAACAGTTTAAATAAGTAATTGTTGCAATCTGGGTCTACTTGATAAGAGTTGTTAAAAAGTTTCACTTGAGAAAAATTCATCATAGTAACAACCATACACACTTACCTGTTGAGTCAGCACTACTCTCTGAGGTTTCAGAAGCTGAAATTCTAGCAGCATCTGGAGTATCTGCAATGTAACCCTCTGGAGGAAGATTCACTGTGTACATTCTCTTTGGAGGCACAACTGTATTGTCACTACCTACAAAACAGAAAACACAAAGCGTCTGGCTACTGATTTCAGTATAGATTTTCTCAAATGTTTTCCCAACTACAGCAATGATAATATGTGGTCTCAAAAATCCTTACAGATAAAAAGAAAGTGAGAGAAAGTCAGGTTTAGAACACTGAAATTATCCTATGACAAACAAAACTGCACCAAAATCTGTAACAGCTACAGTTAAATACTACACAGATTAGCTCTTCCCATCAGAAACATTTTTTTCTCCTTGTGTCAGACAAGTTTTCTACTCCAATTTCAGAAGAAACTTCCATTTACAGTGATATTTTAAGAGACATTCTACACATTTTTCCCCATCCAGCATGAGCAAACACTGCTTCTTTACAAATTGCTTTATAAAAGATGGATGGGGAGATTCAAGCTGATTATAAAGCCATAGAAGAAATAGGAAAAGAATCACAGAACTGTGGGTTGTCCATTTGCAGACCTTTTAAACATAGCCTATGCTTGTTTCCCCTTGGCTGCCCAAGCATCTCTTCATCTTTTCTCTGTTTCTTTCTGTGTCTGTATGTGTGTGAGGGAAGTGGAAGTGTGTCAAGCACCAGTTTTCTAATTACTCCACTGTATAGAAAATCATCTGTGATGATGGCAGTAGACCATTTTTGTGGGACTTCTTCCCCCTCTAAAAGGTATTTAAAAATGCATTCAACTTTTTATTTGCTCACCAGACAAGAACTAACTCTGTTGGAATAACAGACGCACCTCTGCTCCAGTTACACAAAACCAGTCCAAATAGCATATTGTATTTTTTTTTTCTCAGCAGTATATCTCAACCACAGGAAAACAAAAAGCTTTCCAGAAGGCCAGGATGTAAGGGTGCCTCCAGATGCTGCATAGCAATTTCAGACAGTTCAGTGTGGTGGCTTTTTTTGTTGTTGGTTGGTTTTGCTCCATAAGCCAACACAGACACAGAACTAGCCTTCCCTTCATAGGGGGCATCACAGTATCACAGTATGCTAGAGATTGGAAGGGACCTCAAAAGATCATCTAGTCCAATCCCCCTGCCGGAGCAGGAACACCTAGATAATGTTACACAGGAATGTGTCCAGGCGGGTTTTGAATGTCTCCAGGGAAGGAGACTCCACAACCTCCCTGGGCAGCCTGTTCCAGTGTTCTGTCACCCTCACTGAGGAGAAGTTTCTTCTCAAGTTTAAGCGGAACCTCTTGTGTTCCAGTTTGTACCCATTACCCCTTGTCCTATCCTGAGTAGAGCCCGGCTCCATCCTTGTGACACTCCCCCTTTATATATTTATATACACTAATAAGGTCACCCCTCAGTCTCCTCCAAACTATATCCTCCAGCTCCCTCAGTCTTTCCTCATAAGGGAGATGCTCCACTCCCTTAATCATCTTTGTTGCCCTGCGCTGGACTCTCTCCAGCAGGTCCCTGTCCTTCTTGAACTGAGGGGCCCAGAACTGGACACAATATTCCAGATGCGGTCTCACCAGGGCAGAGTAGAGGGGAAGGAGGACCTCTCTCGACCTACTAACCACCCCCCTTCTAATACACCCCAGGATGCCATTGGCCTTCTTAGCCACAAGGGCACAGTGCTGGCTCATGGTCATCCTGTCGTCCACTAGGACCCCCAGGTCCCTCTCCCCTACACTGCTCTCTAACAGGTCGTTCCCCAACCTATACCAGAACCTGGGGTTGTTCCTGCCCAGATGCAGGACTCTACACTTTCCCTTGTTATATTTCATCAAGTTATTCCCTGCCCAACTCTCCAGCCTGTCCAGGTCTCGCTGGATGGCAGCACAGCCTTCTGGCGTGTTAGCCACTCCTCCCAGTTTAGTGTCATCAGCAAACTTGCTGATAGTACACTCAATTCCCTCATCTAAATCATTGATGAATATATTAAATAATACCGGTCCCAGTACTGACCCTTGAGGCACTCCACTAGTTACAGGCCTCCAACTAGACTCCACCCCATAGACTACAACTCTCTGGCTTCTCTCCTTCAGCCAGTTCACAGTCCACCTCACTACCTGATCATCCAGACCACACTTCCTCAATTTAGCTGTGAGGATGCTGTGGGAGACTGTGTCAAATGCTTTGCTGAAGTCAAGGTAGACCACATCCAGCGCTCTGCCATCATCCACCCACCGTGTTATTTCCTCATAAAAGGCTATGAGATTGGTCAAGCATGATTTCCCCCTGGTGAAGCCATGTTGACTGCCCCTCATAACCCTCTTATCCTTGATATGCCTTAAGATGGTACCAAGGATAAGGTGCTCCATCATTTTCCCAGGGATGGAGGTGAGGCTGACTGGTCTATAGTTACCCGAGTCCTCCTTCTTGCCCTTTGTGAAGACTGGAGTGACATTTGCTTTCCTCCAGTCCTCAGGCACCTCTCCCGTTTCCCAAGGCTTGGTAAAGATGATGGAGAGTGGTCTAGCAATGACTTCCGCCAGTTCCCTCAGCACCCGCGGGTGCATCCCGTCTGGACCCATGGATTTATGGATGTCCAGATTGCTCAACTGGTCTCTAACCCATTCCTCATCGACTAAGGCAAACCGCTCTGTTGACCTGACTTCATCTAAGGTCTCAGGGGTACAGGGCTCTTCAGGACTGCCCACAGCAGAGTAGACAGAGACAAAGAAGGCATTCAGTAACTCTGCCATCTCTGTATCTTCTGTCACCAGGGCACCCATCCCGTTCATCAGTGGGCCTACATTGCCTCTGGTGTTAGTTTTATCTGCCATGTATTTGAAAAAGCTCTTTTTGCTGTCCTTGACCCTTCTTACCAGGTTTAATTCTAAGGAGGCCTTAGTCATCCTAGCTGCCTTCCGACATCCTCTAGCAGCAGCCTCATATTCCTCCCAAGTGGCCACCCCTCCTTCCATGACCTGTAAACTCTCCTCTTCCACTTGAGCATACCCAGCAATTCCCTATTTAGCCACGCAGGTCTCCTGGCCCTCTTCCTTGACTTCCTATGCGTCGGGATGCTCCGATCTTGAGCACAGAAAAACCAGTCCTTGAATGTCAACCAACTATCTTGGGCCCCTTTACCTTCGAGCAGCCTTGCCCATGGGATTTCCCCTAGCAATTGCTTGAAAAGGCCAAAGTTTGCCCTGCTAAAGTCCAGGGTTGCAATTCTACTTGCTATTCTACTAGTCCTACCACACAAGATCCTGAACTCCACCATCTCATGGTCGCTGCAACCAAGGCAGCCCTCAACCCTTACTGCTTTGACCAGACCCTCCTTGTTAGTGAGGATGAGATCCAGCAGCGCTCCTCTCCTGGTCGGCTCATCCACCATTTGCAGGAGGAAGTTATCACCCATACACTGGAGGAACCTCCTGGACTGTGGCTGGGTTGCTGAGCGGTCCTTCCAGCAAACATCAGGGAAGTTAAAATCCCCCACGACGACCACGGCCTGTGACTGTGAGGCCGCTCTCAGCTGCCTGTAGAAGGCCTCGTCAACTTCCTCACCCTGATCTGGTGGTCTGTAACAGACACCCACAACAGTATCGCCCCTGCCAGCCTGCCCCTTAATTCTCACCCACAGACTCTCAACTCGCTCATCATCTGTCCCTGGACAGAACTCGGTGCATTGTAGTCGCTCCCGTACATAAAGAGCAGCCCCACCACCCTTCCTGGCTGGACTGTCCTTCCTGAAAAGGACATAGCCCTCCATGACTATATTCCAGTCATGTGAGCTGTCCCACCACGTCTCTGTAATTGCCACCAGATCATAGTCTCCTGACTTAACAAAGGTTTCCAACTCCTCCTGCTTATTTCCCATGCTGCGCGCATTGGTGTACAGACATTCCAGGGAGCGAGCTGAGCACACCGATTTCACCCTAGGATTATAGGAGGCCTCCCAGTCCTCATCAATTCTGGAGTGCTGTCCCACTGGGGCAAGCCCAGCTACAACCCCATCCCCCTTCAAATCTAGTTTAAAGCTCTCCAAATGAGCCCTGCTAATTCGTGCCCCAGCATCCTTTTGCCTCTGTGAGACAAACCTTTTCCACTTGTCATTGTCCAGACTGGTGCCCTATAAAACCAGCCATTATCAAAAAATCCAAAGCCCTGCCTGTAGCACCAGTCTCGAAGCCAATCGTTTATGAAGTGAATCTTCCCATTCCTTCCCACATCATCAGTGGAAGATGGAAGGAGGGAGGAGAAGACCACTTGAGCCCCAGACTCTTTCACCATCCGCCCCAAGGCCCTGTAGTCTTTCTTCATCCCCCTCAGACTGCGGGAAGCAGCTTCCCCCTCACCTGTCTGGAAAACCAGCAGCGGGTAGTAGTCTGTTGGGTGCACCAGGTTGGGGAGCACCCTAGTGATATCCCTGATCCGGGCTCCAGGCAGACTACACACTTCCCTATGATGAGGGTCAACTCTGCATATCAGGCCCTCTGTTCCTCTCAGAAGGGAATCCCCTACTACAATGACCCTTCTTTCTTTCTTATCAGAGGCATCTCCTTATCAGACATCTGCTCCTTTAAAACACATAGCCAGAACTGGTTAAGATAGTATCTTTGGCAGGTGGACACAAATTAACTTCCTTACACCACAAGCTTGCTTGAATATCCCAGATGATCTGAATGTATTACGAAGCTACTATGATCAAACTAGTAACTAAACCTTTAAAATGAAGTCCAGCCCAACCCAGGACAGTCTGATAGAAATTTCTTGTTAGGCATCTGTTTCTGAGGTGTAATTGAACTATTACACATTGCATGCAAATACATAATTTAACTATACACTGTCATTTCTCAGTGAGCACACTTCAAAGAGTTCAATATGACTGATCATTTTAGATATCTATGATGAACTACATTTCAGAACATTCAAGGTACTTTTGAAAAGCTACATCACAGCTGTTTTCATCATCAGGATGTAATTATTTTGTTTTGAGAATACATTAGGAAGTTACTGCTTTTCCTTGAACAAGCCAGAAAATTTCAAACTGATATTGATGATGCTTATTTTAAAGGATAAGAAAGGAAAAGAA